CAGCTTCCCACCTTTAGTTGGTTGACTCTTCTCTCGTTTCCTCAGAACATAATCCCCCACTTGGAATGCCCTTGGTTTCACCTTGCTATCAAAGTAAGATTTCACCTGGCGACGATAATTTTCTGCCCGGATACGTGCTTCATCCCTTCGTTCTTCTACGAAATTCAGCTCTACGGCCTGATTCTGTTCATTCACCTCCGGGTCATATTCCATCTCTCTCCTGGTGGGGATTACTACCTCGGCGGGAGCCCGGGCCTCAAAACCATACGCCAAGCCAAAAGGAGTGTCACCCGTGGCTCTCCTCGGAGTCGTCCTGTATGTCCATAGGATTCTGGGCAGTTCATCTACCCATTTGCTTCCTTCTGAAAGTAGCTTCTTCTTTATTCCGTCTATGATTGTTCTGTTGACGTTCTCCACTTGTCCATTAGCCTGAGGGTACGCAACAGACACCTTTGTGTGCTGAATTCTCCAAGTTCTGGGAAAGTCTTTAAATTCTGCTTCCTCAAACTGGGTTCCATTATCTGATATAATCTGCTTCGGGACTCCAAACCTGCAGAGTATATTAGTCCCAACGAAGTCGATCATCTGCCTTCCGGTGATCCCTGCAAGCGGCTCAGCCTCCACTCACTTTGTGAAATAGTCTATCGCCACCACAATCCATCTTGCCTGCCCCGCCCCTTTTGGCAGGGCCCCCACAAGATCAATCCCCCATCTTGAGAAGGGAATCACGGAGCTGATGGGTGTGTAGTTAGTGGCTGGTCTCCCGGGTATATTCTGGAATTGCTGGCAAGTCAGGCACTTGCGTACATACTCTTCGCAATCCTTCCTCATCGTTGGCCAGAAATATCCCTGGATGATAGCCCTCCGGGAAATGGAATAAGGACCCTGATGTGCGGCACATACTCCTTCGTGTATTTCTTCCATCAATGCCTTCGCCTCTGTTGTTCTAAGGCAACGGAGTAGGACACCGTTGTAGGACCGCTTATAGAGGACTCCGTCCTGCACCTTGTAGGTTGGTGCCCTCATTCGTAATAGATGCGCTTCTTGGGGATTCTCCGGGGCCTCGCCGTCCTCAATATATTTGGCCAATTGGTCCAGCCATTCTGGGGGATCGGCTGATACCCAGAGCACTTCACTGCTGTTAAGACTCGGGGTTACCAGCTCTTCGACAGTTGCTAATCTGCTTATGTATTCCGGTGATTCTGCGCTGAGCTTGGATAGAACATCGGCCTCTGCGTTCAAGCTTAAACTCAAACCTTCCCAACATCTCTAGAGACAAGTCCCGGTACCTCTTCATCCTCTCTTCCTTTGCTTCAAACTCCCCTGTGATTTGTCCCACCACCAGTCGGGAGTCACTGTAGACTTGAACCCTGGATACTCCCATCTTACCAAGAATCTTCATACCATTGATCAGGGCCTCATACTCAGCTTCATTGTTGGAGACACGGAACTGAAATCTGATGGCGTAATAAATCCGGAATTTTTCTGGGGTGATCAAGACGATACCTGCTCCGCAAGATCGAGACCCAGAAGATCCGTCGATGCACATTATCCACCAATCTTTCTCCATCTGGGTTTCAACCTGGGCTCTTGTCATTTCCCTAGCGGTGCACTCAACTTGAAAATTGGCGAGTGCTTGCCCCTTGATGGATGGGCGCGGCCTGAACTCCACATTGTACTGACTGATAAAGACCGCCCACTTGGTCATCCGGGCCGATGCCGCCGGGCTCCGGCTAAATGACGCCAATGGCTCATTGGTGAGCACAATAATCCGGTGAGCCTGAAAGTACGGGGTCAATCTCTTCGCCGTCCAGAAGACCGCCAACATGGCTTTCTCTGGTCGGGAATACCTTAACTCCACATCCCTCAGGGTCTTGCTGACGTAGTAGACCGGATATTGGGCCCCACGCTCTTCTCTCACGATCACAGTACTTATAGCACAATCCGCAATTGCCAAATATAGAGTCAGAATATCCCCAGGTTCCGGCTTGGATAAAACCGGCGGACTTGTGAGATATCTCTTTAATTCTTCAAATGCTTCTTGACACTCCGGTGTCCATTCAAAGGTCGCCTTCTTCTTAATCACCGCAAAGAATGTGTGCGCCTTCTCTGCCAGCTTTGAAAGGAAACGATTTAAGGCCGCCAATCTTCCTGTTAGCCGCTG